CCCTGTCTATGATAGCAGATAGAATCACAAATGCAGAGTTGGAAGGGATCCAAGAGGCCATTAAGTCTAACCCCCTCATTTTACATGTGAGGGAAATGAGGCCCAGAGAGTTGCTTGTTGACTGGTCACCTAGGTAGTAAGTAAGGACCAGGACTGGGGCTAAGTAGAACCTAGGTCTCTGACTCCAAATCTACTGCTTTTCCCGCTGCTCCCTTCAGGCCACTTGTGGAAGGAAAATGAACATTCAGGGTTTGCTGCTCCTGTGGGCTAGTGGATTGTTATGTTCGACCCTGGGTAGCTTGACTAGATTAAAATGTCCAATGCGGTTTACAGCCTTCTTTGGACAGGCTTATTCCTCATGCTCTCTGTATATTACTGCCAAGAGCTCAGCCTGATGCATGCCCAAAGTGTAGTTCTGAACCTGTATCTAATAGAACAGAAACAGAAAATAAAGTGAAATTTACTGTAGGCTCTACAAATTACATATATATATATCTATAGATATAGATATAGATCTATATCTATAGATCTATATCCCATAATTCCACACTTAGAACTTCTTCTCTTTGACTTAAGACAAGCAAATTCTGTGTTCCGGGTTAAAATACGAATTCCTCCAGGAGAGGGTCATACTTTAAATCTGATCAGTCATTTACACTTGAGTGTGAATGACTTTGGGAGAACAGTCTGTCTATCTGTTTGTCTCTCTTTCTCTCTCCCCCCTCTCTCTTGTTCTAGGAGAAGGGAAGAGTGTGAGAATTTGAAAACCCAGAGGAAAAGGGTTGGGAGGGGACAAAAAATGAAGAAAAAAGAGCTAGCAACACTGAAGACAAATTTGACTCCCTTTACCATTTTGTTGCTGGCCACCTACTCTGTAAATAGAGTTGGCTTTGCTCCCAGTGGGAAAATGTCCCAGCTCTATGCCCAGTATCTGGCCTTGGCTCCAGCCAGACACACTTTGGGAAGGCAGCTTGGTCTTGTTGCCAGATGCCCCAAGTCTTTTGAGGGAGGCATGACCAAGGAGGTCATTTTGCCCCAGGTTTCTATTTCTGCTATTGCTGTGATCTAGGATTAGAACCCAGATCCCTATTCCCCTTCCTCTCCTTCTTCACCCTCCACATCAAAGGCGCAGGTGGCTGCCTTGAGAAGCAGGCTCCTAAAAAGCCTGGGAGGCCTCAAAGCTTTTTTTTTTTCTGCTATGTTAACATTTTCAAAGGGGACACCCCAGGATCTCAAACTTTGTTTAAAGTATGATTAGCCTACATTGCTGAGTGCCAAAAGTGTCCCAGGCAGAACAAAATATACAATGTGGGTTGCATTTTTTAGATGCTTAAACAATCTTTTCCTTTTTTGGAATGTTATAAACATTCTTCCTTACCCTCATTCCTCACCCACCCACCCACCTTCAAAGACATTACAGTCTTAAGAAGTGACCTTTGCTTCTTGCAGTAAGACCGTCTCTGAGTGAGTCTGATGTTCTGGATCTCCTTCAGTCTTGGAATTTTGTCAGGTAGCCATGGAAGTGCTGACCTGACCTAATGCTTCTCAAGTTTCAGCCACTGGCTGCTGCCGTCCAGAAACATTTTGTTTTGACCCCAATCCTAAATGCTGCCTTCATTTAAAGCTCCCAACCCTCTGATTCAAGCCCAGGAAGATAGTGCAGAGGAAATTCATAGTAGTGTTGAAAGTGGCTTTGGAAGGGACACCCTGTCCCTCACACTGCTTACTCTTAAGCAAGAAAAAAAACAAAACTAACCAAACCATGTTGTGCTCTATGTTCCCTGATAAGATTAGGCAATAAATTCGTGTAATCTGTCTGTCTCTCTCTTTCCTCCCTCTCTCTCTCTCTCTCTGTCTCCTCTCTCCTTTCTCTTCTCTCTCACTCATTCTCTCTCCCTCTCCCCCCAGTCTTTCTCTCTCTCTCTCTCTCTCTCTCTCTCTCTCTCTCTCTCT